TGATCATAAACTGTGACTTGATTTGCCCCATGACGATCAACTGTGATTTGACTAGAATCATAACTATCAGCTGTGACTTGACTAGAATCATAACTATCAGCTGTGACTTGACTAGACTCATGAAAATGAACTGTAACTTGACCTGACTCGTGAAGATCAGCTGCGACTTGCCGGAGCGCTGTTGTGTCCGCCATTTTGTGATCAGGCTCCTCTGTCGCCGCCATCTTGTGAGCATGCTTTGATACAGCCATCACTTCAGTCACAGACATGGTGTCGCTTCCTTCCTCCGCGACACCCACCGTGAACGCTGAACCAGCAGTCAGCCAGGCATAGTCAATAAAGTCCTTTAAGCTCCAGTTGCATTCACTCCTTTGCATAAGAGATTTCGTGGGTTCATTAAGTCCAAACCGAAACAAGTCCTTAAATAAAATCTCATCATAAAGTGATACCTGATAAGATAGTTCACAGAACCGGTGAACATACTCCTCAATAGAAAGACCTCCTTGCCGAAGATGTAGTAGCTCGGTGACTGGGTCCATACCAGGCCAGAGTCCACTGAAAAAGCCGCTGGATCCTTGTGTGGCCGAGTATTCTGTTACGGGGCTGACGAGACGTGAGACTTGCGGATCCATTCGCAGAGCTTTATTAGACAAAGGCAGAGACGTGGTCATACAGCAGGCATGGGTCAGATGAGAGCAAACAGGTATATGGTGGGCAAAACACAAGAATAGTCCTAGGGCTAGCACAGGTCGACGATCGGCAGACAGAATCAAAAGGGGCAAGACAAAAGGGGTGAATCCAGGGAACCAGGCGAAGATCAGAAACCGGGAAGGCTAAGGCTAAGGCAAATGACTAAGGCTAAGGCTAAGGCTAATGACTAGTACTAGGGCTAGGGCTAAGGCTAAGGCTAAGGCTAAGGCAAATGGCTAAGGCAATGACAAGGGCTCCGTAAGGTAGCTATCTCTAGGAGAGTGATAAATGCTGAAACAATACTCGGCAGAGGGAAGGGATCAGAGTGAGTGTTAAATAGTGAGGGAGTGATATGAAACAGCTGGGTGCAATCAGTGTAAACAGGTGTGTGCAATTCGTGCTGAGTGCAATCAGTGCAATGCATGATGGGAAATGTAGTCCGGGGTGCTATGCAACAGTTTGTGTAGTGCGAGAGTCAATGAATAGGAAAGTTCGTTGACCGGATTCGTGACACCTATTCCCGAAGCCCCCACCAACAACGCACATTTTGTCAATCACACCTGATTCAGGTCATCAGCCCATTAGTAGAGACTCCAAAACCTGAAAACTAGTGTGAAAGAGAACAGAGTCATTCAAAAACTGCAGTGTTAGGGGCATCCAGGAACATGGTTGAAAAGCACTGATTCATTCTATCAAATTCATGCATCTATAACTACCAAAATACTATTTGGATCCCTCATATGGAAAACATACAAGCTTCTTTATATTCAATGAAACACCTGTATTTTATCTGTAATGGTTTACTCTGTGAGCATGTGAAAGTACTTTGTAGTGAACAGAAATAGACTGTCTTTACCTCCAGGTGTTGTCCTCAGGTGTGTAACACTCCACTGAGTCCAGACAGTTCATGTCATCACAGTTTCCACCAAGGACAAACACCTTCCCTCTGTGACACACAGCGGCGAAGTAATCCCTGGGTCTGGACATGTCAGGAAGACGTTCCCATCTGCCCTGAGCAGGATCAAATCTGCACAAGGACACACAGACTAGATGATTTCTGCTTCTCTCGATTAAGCAATCATCTGCGATATTTGCCCACAGGTTTTTTATATGGAAATCATTTCATATTCATTTGACATTTGCCTTATCTTGCATTGGCAACAAGCTTTGGTGCTTCTGACCATCAGATGTCAAGATTTTAAATCCCCACCAGTCAAAACTTTTCTCTTAAATGGATACATTTTCTGCACGGTGTTTTACTTAGTATTCCCATTCTGGCAACCATATGCTTGCGCTCTCTCTGTTCTAAGGGACAAAAAAGTATGGCAAAGAGATATGTTGGAGTTTAGATCTTCACTACAATATTTTGCTCAAATGAAATTGTAGTACAGTCGATCTGTTTTCTTTTTAGGCATTTGTTTGCTATGCTACAATCTGCCAGCAAACCTCAGTGATAAACGATGGTGATAAATTAAAACTTTAATCTGGACTGTTTGCAATTGTGATTTCTGAATAGCATCTTTCTTGTTATAATAGAAAAATGTTAACATAACTGTATTACAAATTTGAGTAGTTTAACTTTTGAGAGAAGTTTTTGTACTAGTCTTCATAATACAGCAATTCAATTACCACAATCTTTACAATAAATCAAGTAGCTAGATGAGGTAAAATCAACTACGTGAGCTGAGATTTTCTGAATTTGTGCTTTTCTGAAAGTTTATATTATAATATAAGATTGTAATATTTGAGCAAAATAATGACCAATTCAAGCATTATCGTTGTCACGATGTGCCTACGGTAACGAGCGAGGAACGAGGAGAACGCAGGAGAATCTTAATCAAACAGTCTTTATTGACATCTAGGGAGATACATGTAGGACACGGGATTGACGTTCGAGACAGCACCTGGAACCAAATTAACACAATCAACATGGGAAAACTGGGACATGGAACACGTGGGGAACAAAACACAAGACACAGGACTGACATTACTCCCCTCTCCCCAAAGGCGCGTCCACGCGCCATACAACATCCAATGGGGAGGGGGGGTGGGGACTCTGGAGGCCCCTCAGGACTGGCTTATACTTGACGGCAGGCCTCCAGAGTGGCACCTGTTTCGGGCGCCATGGCGGAACAGGCAGACTGGGAAGCCATGGCGGAGCAGGGAACTCAGGGGGCCAAGGCGGATCAGACAGTTCAGGAGGCCAAGGCGGAACTCGGGCCGGCCTCCACGGATGGACCTCTACTACCACCCTCCCGCCCTTCCAAAAAAAAAATCCTTGGGGAGAAGGTTGTTTCAGAGGCCCTCCATAGGCCTTACTCAGGAACTGTGGCCCTCCCTGGGCATGACTTGGGGAATGGAGCCCTCCTAGGGCTGAACGTGGGAACCGGAACCCTCTCTGGGTTAAACTCGGGGACTGGAACCCTCTCTGGGCCAGGGACAGGAACCCTCTCACAGTCCTAGACGGCCACCGGGACAAGACCAAAGGAAACAGATGAGTCCTCTGCACAATGTGAATTTGCTGCAACCTTGAATTTAACTGCTGGTTTCGTCTGGCCAGAGGAGAACTGGCCGCCTGACCGAGACTGGTTTCTCCCAAGGTTTTTTCTCCATTCTGTCACCGATGGAGTTTTGGTTCCTTGCCGCTGTCGCTTCTGGCTTGCTTAGTTGGGGACACTTAATATCCAGCGATATTATCGACTTGATTACACAGATACTATTTAAACTGAACTGAGCTGGATGATGACATCACTGAATTCAATGATGAACTGCCTTTAACTGAAAATTTTGTGTTTACTATTATCATTTTACATTATTGACACACTATTTTCCTATTCAATACTGTAAAGTGCTTTGACACAATCTGTATTGTTAAAAGCACTATATAAATAAAGGTGACTTGACTTGACTCTGGGATAAATTCGGGGACCGGAGCCCTCTCTGGGATAAACTCGGGAACCGGAACCCTCTCTGGGCCAAACTCGGGGACCGGAACCCTCTCTGGGCTAAACTCGGGGACCGGAACCCTCTCTGGGCTAAACTCGGGGACCGGAACCCTCTCTGGGCTAAACTCGGGGACCGGAACCCTCTCTGGGCTAAACTCGGGGACCGGAACCCTCTCTGGGCTAAACTCGGGGACCGGAACCCTCTCTGGGCTAAACTCGGGGACCGGAACCCTCTCTGGGCTAAACTCGGGGACCGGAACCCTCTCTGGGCTAAACTCGGGGACCAGAACCCTCTCTGGGCTAAACTCGGGGACCGGAACCCACTCTGGGCTAAACTCGGGGACCGGAACCCTCTCTGGGCTAAACTCGGGGACTGGAACCTAAAAGTGGAAAGTAACTAATTACAAATACTTTCGTTACAGTACTTGAGTAAATTTTTACATTTTAGATGCATTTTAAATCACTTTTTCTGTGTGCATGCTTTGGATGTGTGAGAACATGGGTGAAGAAACAAGATAGTCTATGTATGACCGGACGATTTATTCATATCCAAAACAAAATGATGTGAACATCACGGAGCGCTAAAACACTCTCATGCAGTGCATGTTTCATTCATATTCGAAGCCGGAGGGTGCTCTCACGCAGAAAGTCCACAAAGGCCCAGTAGAAGTTATATAATAACTTATGGTGTGCAGGAAATCCCTAATATGGACAAAGGCATCCAGCTATGGCTGTAGCAAAAAAAGGGTAATTTCAGGTAATTTCCAGATAATAAATATAGTATATGAATAATGCAGTGCTAATTGACATAACATTTATTACAATACAGAAGCAATTCTGCTTTATTATGTGTTTGTATAAGCAATCCTAAAATTGTCATTAGGAAAACACAGAAAAAAATATAGAATACAAATGATTGGTTATCGTCCAGCAGTGTATTTGATTTCTTAGCCAGTTAAAATACATAAGAAAAATAAAGCTTGTCAGTTAGACAAAAGTCAAAAGTTGTTCTTTTTTTATTTTTACATTTCTGTCCCCCTCATTTCTGAAATGATGGCTATGCCCCTATGTGTGCAGTACAGAAAACAGAGCATGAGGCTGCTTGTGCCTGAATGGTTTAAAGTCATATTAAAATGCACACAAAGGAATCGAAAAGAGGAATCCAAATTTTAATTTTATAACAAGTAGACGATTCCTGACCATAAGCATCCTATTCCAGAATTAGAATAGATTTTGGATTCCCAAGCCTAGGTATGGGTTAACATTTTAAATAAAATGCAATTTTTTTTGTCCTAACGAAAATGTGCCTGGAGTCCACCTTTGTTATTATAACAAACGTCTCGGTTACGTATGTAACCCTCGTTCCCTGAAGGAGGGAACGGAGACGTCACGTCGGAGGACCGACAAAAAAAAAATCCTTGGGGAGAAGAGAGGCCCTGAGGCCCTCCATAGGCCTTACTCAGGAACTGTGGCCCTCCCTGGGCATGACTTGGGGAATGGAGCCCTCCAACGTGGGAACATGACTTGGGGAATGGAGCCCTCCTAGGGCTGAACGTGGGAACCGGAACCCTCTCTGGGTTAAACTCGGGGACTGGAACCCTCTCTGGGCCAGGGACAGGAACCCTCTCACAGTCCTAGACGGCCACCGGGACAAGACCAAAGGAAACAGATGAGTCCTCTGCACAATGTGAATTTGCTGCAACCTTGAATTTAACTGCTGGTTTCGTCTGGCCAGAGGAGAACTGGCCGCCTGACCGAGACTGGTTTCTCCCAAGGTTTTTTCTCCATTCTGTCACCGATGGAGTTTTGGTTCCTTGCCGCTGTCGCTTCTGGCTTGCTTAGGTGGGGGCACTTAATATCCAGTGACATCACTGAATTCAATGATGAACTGCCTTTAACTGAAAATTTTGTGTTTACTATTATCATTTTACATTATTGACACACTATTTTCCTATTCAATACTGTAAAGTGCTTTGACACAATCTGTATTGTTAAAAGCACTATATAAATAAAGGTGACTTGACTTGACTCTGGGATAAATTCGGGGACCGGAGCCCTCTCTGGGATAAACTCGGGAACCGGAACCCTCTCTGGGCCAAACTCGGGGACCGGAACCCTCTCTGGGCTAAACTCGGGGACCAGAACCCTCTCTGGGCTAAACTCGGGGACCGGAACCCACTCTGGGCTAAACTCGGGGACCGGAACCCTCTCTGGGCTAAACTCGGGGACTGAAACCCTCTTTGGGCCAAACTTGGGGACTGGAAAACTCTCTGGGCTAAACTCGGGGACTGGAACCTAAAAGTGGAAAGTAACTAATTACAAATACTTTCGTTACAGTACTTGAGTAAATTTTTACATTTTAGATGCATTTTAAATCACTTTTTCTGTGTGCATGCTTTGGATGTGTGAGAACATGGGTGAAGAAACAAGATAGTCTATGTATGACCGGACGATTTATTCATATCCAAAACAAAATGATGTGAACATCACGGAGCGCTAAAACACTCTCATGCAGTGCATGTTTCATTCATATTCGAAGCCGGAGGGTGCTCTCACGCAGAAAGTCCACAAAGGCCCAGTAGAAGTTATATAATAACTTATGGTGTGCAGGAAATCCCTAATATGGACAAAGGCATCCAGCTATGGCTGTAGCAAAAAAAGGGTAATTTCAGGTAATTTCCAGATAATAAATATAGTATATGAATAATGCAGTGCTAATTGACATAACATTTATTACAATACAGAAGCAATTCTGCTTTATTATGTGTTTGTATAAGCAATCCTAAAATTGTCATTAGGAAAACACAGAAAAAAATATAGAATACAAATGATTGGTTATCGTCCAGCAGTGTATTTGATTTCTTAGCCAGTTAAAATACATAAGAAAAATAAAGCTTGTCAGTTAGACAAAAGTCAAAAGTTGTTCTTTTTTTATTTTTACATTTCTGTCCCCCTCATTTCTGAAATGATGGCTATGCCCCTATGTGTGCAGTACAGAAAACAGAGCATGAGGCTGCTTGTGCCTGAATGGTTTAAAGTCATATTAAAATGCACACAAAGGAATCGAAAAGAGGAATCCAAATTTTAATTTTATAACAAGTAGACGATTCCTGACC